AGGAGCGGTGATAATGGCATCCTTGTCTTGTGCTTGATTTTAAGGTAAAGGCCTTGAGTTTCTGGCCATTCAATATGATCCTGTCTGTGGGTTTGTCATAGATGTCCTTTATCGTACTGAGGTAAAGACCATCTACTCCCATTTTCTGTAAGTTTCTTATCATGAATGAATGTTGGACCTTACCAAAAGCCTTTTTCTGCATCTATAGAAATGATCATGTGATTCTTACTTTTGGCTCTATTGATATGGTGGATTACATTGATGGATTCACGTATGTTGAACCATTCCTGCATGGCTGGTATGATTCCCCTTGGTGTGGCGTATAATCTTCATGATGATTTGCTGCATCCTGTTTGCCAATATTTTGTTGAGAATTTTTGCATCTGTGTTCATTAGGGAGATTGGTCCATAGTTGTCTTTTTAGTTGGGTCTTTCTCAGGTTTTGGTATTAGTCTAATATTTCCTTCCAGAAATGACTTGGGAAGAGATACTTCCCTATTGATTTCATTGAAGAGTTTGAGGAGTGTCAGCATTAAGTCTTTTTTAAAATTGTATTTAAGGAGAAAAAGAAAAAAAAACAGAAATTGGGAAGTTTTTTTATTTCTTGTAGAATTCCACAGTGAGTCCGTGTGGGCCTGGGTTCTTGTTTGTAGGTAAGAACTTAATTATATTTTCAATTTCACTAATAGAAATTGGGTTATTCAGCAGTTTCACAAAAGACCCAGCTTTTGTAGGTCATATGTTTCTAGGAATCGGTCCCCTTCTTCAGTGTTATGAACCCTATGAGACTACAGGTTTTTGAAACAGGTATCGATGATTTTCTGTATTTCCACAGAGTCTATAGTGATTTCACCGTTTTCATTCCTTATTGCATGAATTTGAGCTCTAACTTTTATTTGTTTTCTTTCTTTCTTTATTCATTTATTCTTTCAAAGAACCAACTCTTTCACTCATTGATTCTTTGTAATGTTTTCTTAGTCTCTATTGCGTTAATTCGTGCTCTGATTTTTACAATTTCCTCCCTTCTTATGGCTTTGGGCTTGACTTGCTCTTCTTTTTCTAGATATTTGAGGTATAGCATCAGGTTGTTTATTTGTGTTCATTCTGTTTTCCTGATGTGGGAACTCAGTGTAATAAATTTTTCTCTGAGGGCCACTTTCATTGCATCCCACAGATCCTGGTAATTTGTATTTGTATTTTCATTTGCTTGAAGGCATTGTTTAATTTCTTCTTATTTTCCTCTGTGACCCACTGATTGCTCAAGAGTGTATTATTCAACTTCCATGTGTTCGTGGAGTTTTTGCAGTGCCTTTTATCATTAGTTTCTGATTTTATAGTGTTATGATCTGATAACATGCATGGGATAATTTTCCTTGTTTTGCATTTACTTAAATATGTTCTTTGGGCTAGTATATGGTCTATTTTAGAGAATGTCCCATGTGCTGCTGAGAAGAATGTATATTCTGATGTTTTTGGATGGAACACTCTGTATATGTCTATCAAGTCCATGTGTTCGCAGGTGTAATTCAGTCCTGTTATTTCTTTGCTGATTTTCTGTCTGGTTGATCCGTCCCTTAGTGCCAATGGTGTGTTAAGGTCTCCAATTATAATTGTGTTGTTGCTTATTTGATTTTTCATTTCTATTAATACTTGCTTTGTATAGCTGGGTGCTCTGGAATTTGGTGCATATATATTTAAGATTGTTATCTCTTCCTCTTGAAGTTTCCCCCTAAATAGTATGTAGTTTATGTAGTATGTAGTTCTTTATCTCTTCGTATCATTCTTCATTGCAGTTCACACTGTGTGTGAACAGAATGGCTACCCCCAATTTTTTTTTTTGTTTTGTTGCATGAAGTATTGTTTTCCACCCTTTGAGTTTCCATCTATGAGTTTCCTTTTGGGTTAGATGTGTTTCTGGTAGACAGCATATGGTTAAATATCATCTCTTGATCTATTCTGCCAGTTTCTTGCTTTTAATTGGTGAATTGAGACCATTTACATTAATGGGTATAAGTGTTATACTTTGGCTTATTGTTGACATGTTATATTTCTGCTGTTACATTTTTACCTTTCCATTCTGTTTGTCTGCCTTGCTTCGAGGATTTTTGGATGTGTATCTAGAATGTCTTTTTATTCTTTGTAGGGTTGGTTTGGTGGTCATGAAGTTCTTCATCTCTTCTTTGTCATGGAAGTGTCTTATTTCTGCATCCATTTTGAAAGGACAGTTTTGCATGGTGCATCAGTTTAGATTGGAAGTCGTTTTCCTTTAGGATCTGAAATACTTCACTTCATGGTCTTCTTGACGTCATTGTTTGTGTTGAGAAGTCTCTTGTGATTTGGATTGGTTTTCCTTTATAGGTGATCTGTCTTTCTCTCTAACACCTTTTAATATTCTATTATGTTGGATTTCTCAGATGGTGATTATTATTTGTTTGGGTGTAGTTTTATTTTAGTTATGGCTATTTGGAGCTCAATATACTTCAATAATGCATATGTCAGTTTTCATTCTCGTGTTTGGGAAATTTTCAGCTATTACTTCTTGATATCATTTGTGTTGTAACCCCTTCTTCATTTATCCCTGTGAATCTTATGTTGTTTTTCTTTGAATCATGTTGCAGTGGTTGAATTGTTATTTCCTGATTCCTTATTATCTTTAAAAGATCTCTCCTTTCCTATTCACTAGCTGGAATCTTGTGTTCAAGGTCTGAAAATCTATCTTCACTTTTATTGAGGCAGTTTTGACAACTTTCAATGGAATTTTTTGATTTCCCGTTATCCCTTTGAATCTTCATGTATTCTGTTTGTTTCTTACATTGTTCTTCTAGGGATTCTATGTTTTTGCATTGTTCCCTTAATTTTCTAACTGTGTCTTCTTTAGATGTGTTCAGCATTTCTTTCATTTCTTTTTTCATTTCTTCTTTTACCTGAGAGATTATTTGTAATTTGAATTCTTTTAAGGCTTCCTGGAGTTGCTTTTTTATTTCAGGTATTTCAGGTGTATGGCTTATATTTCTTGGTATATACATGGCTCCTAAGCTTTCTTGGGATGGGCTAAAGGTTTGAAATTGCATTTTGGTGTTTTGTCTTGTCATTATCCTCTATTTCCGTGTTTCAAGTGAGGTTCCAAAGCTTCTTTTGGCTATGTTGGAAATCACCTCCAATGCTCAGCTCTTGGGTCTGAATGGAAGTTGCTGAGCATCATCCAGTCAGGCCCCCAGGACCTCCCGTGCTAACTCCAGTGTTCTGAGAAGCCTGGTGGGCTCCTAACCACTGCTGGTGATGGTCCACAGGTCTCCCTGGGCAAGCACATATGCACTGGAAATCACTTCACATGCCCTCAGCTCTCCAGTGTAACCTATTGTTGTGCAGAATCCACCACTTTCCTTCCCCCCTGTGGTCATTCAGTGCCACTGGTAAGCTCTTTATTAATTCACTAATGGTTAAGGTTTAATCTTGATGAATTCCACATCTCTTTGTTATCATTACTGGCTCTCATTATAATCACTAGTGGCACAAAGCTGACAAATGTAGATTTTCAGGAATTTGAACAATATCCACCTTGAATCTGTATTTAATTGAAGGCATGTGACAGACTATGTCACTGTATTCAGTTAAGAAAGCCCTGGCAGAAATCAATGAAATTGTAAGAACAGAGATGGGAATGCTTTTTAAATTCGTATTGCTTATTTCTTAGTGTGTGTGTGTGTTGGGGGGGTAATGGAGGATTGCACCTAGGACCTTCTCACTGAGCTGCATCACCACCATTCAGCACTGCTCACCCCTTGTTAAATTTGAGACAGTGTTTCACTAAGTTTCAGAGGCAGAAATCAGACATGAACTTGGATCCCTCTTCCTAGCCTCACAGAGTGATAAGCTTACAGGGTTGTACCACCCTATCCAGCTGGGAATTGTGGTAATTTCTTTTTAGCGCTCCTTTGAAACTGTTTAACAGCAGGGAGAACTGCATACAAATGGAGGATAAGTATAAGTGTTGAAAAATTATTGAAATAGGTATAATGCTTTTCATTTCATGGTAGGACCTCACTTTTTTGGTAAAACATGATGTTAAGGGGAGAATTTTACACAGAAATGCTTGCTTTGTACACAACCATTTGGCAGCCCATGCATACCAAAGGTAAAAGCAAAACTGTGACTTAAACGTGGCTCTTAGCTCTATGCAGTTTTCCTGCATCAATTGAACTCACAAGGAGGTTTCAGAACCCTGCTCCAAATTTGAAGTTGAAGATGCTCAGAGAGAAGGGTCTGTCCTGTGTTCAGAGCCTGTGTGACCATGTCAGTGTGCCCTTTTACAGACCCACCTCTGTGTTTCCCTGTGCCAACTGCTGACTGTGCCTCTATGAGAGTTTGCAGCTCTTAAAAGATGGTATATTTTAATAAAGATTCTGGAATTTCAGAATATCTTTTATTCATTTATAAGAATGTAATCTAAGTGCTGGGGTTTTATCTCAGCGGCATAGGCGCCTGCCTTGCAAGTGTGTGCTCATGAGTTTGATCCCTGGTACTGATAAAAAAGGACAAAGACAAAAATAAAATGTAATCTAGATTTAAGAATAAATATTTAGAAATGGAATGGAATTTAGAAATTGTTTAAAATTGTTCCCATATGCTAATAATGTTGTTCCATGCTAATAATCATGTTCCTATCAGAATGCCTGTAGACATTAATAATTAAAATCACAACTGAATAATTTATGCTTGTTACCAAGAATTTTGTATCTTTCATTTCAGCCTTGCCCCTTAAAAATATGTGTCTTACTGAGTTTCATTGTGATACAATTTTCATATTGAGTGGTATGAAAATTTTCATATTATGCAGTATTAGAATTTGTTCATTATGAGAAAATCCATCCTGAGCAGTGTTATAATTTATTTATTATGTTAAAATCCAAATTGAGCAGTATTAGAATCTTTATTGATGAACCATATTTTACATTTGATTTGTATAACATTGGTAATTTAAATGGAACCAGAATAAAACTTATTAAAAGCAATAGTTACGCATGGGGATCCCAGGATTGCCGTTATATATGAGAAGTGAAGTTTTGTACTCATCTTTCTAACAGCTGAGATAATATTTTCATCTAATAATAGGACAGAAAGAGCCGTAACTGGTTTAATAAGAAGTGATCCAAGTTCACTTGGGGCTGATCTCACAATTGAGTGACCATGTAATGGGGTACTCCTTGAAAGCTGGAATGGTTAAGAATTGTAGTTGGATCCTGTCACCAGGTGGAGAATTCAGCAAGTTTCCTGCCTAACTGCTTTGCATGGTACCGAAACTGTTAATTCCCTGAAACTGTTAATTCCTCAGGTATTGATATTTGGCAGAAGACAAGTAGTGTTGAATACGAGTAAAGCAAAGGTAAAGAGATTTTAATACTGAAGAAATAATGCAGTTTTATAATTTCTCAAACAGATGATTATCAAATCTGTTGAGACATAGAAGTCATGGAAAATGATTCTTTGGAAGATAGGGTGAGAATTTCTGCCTAGGGATGATAATTTAACTCATTAATTTAATCCAAATCCTTCAATCATTTTTGACTGTGCATTATGGTTGGAGCTACTGAGAAAAAAGATACAGCCCCTGCCTGAAGGTGCATTTGATTGAAGCGGGAGGTGTTACATAACTCTGAGTACCATGATAAAGGCTGTGATGGAAAGACCCTTGGAACCAGTGACTGGAGCGAGTTGTGACCCTGGGGTTTCTGTAGCCACTGTGGGCAGAGAGCATGCACTGCAGAGGGTATGGCAGGGCAGCACGTGTGGAAGCACTGGGAGTGAGAAGGAAGAGACTGCTGTGTGTTGTTATCTATATCAGGTTAACAGTCAGGGTCCTTCACAAGCTGTTCAGTTCAGCTGAGAAGCAGGCAGTTGTGTGGGTTTTAAATTGTTTCTGCTTCTCCACAGGAAGGCCTCACACCACTTATGCTTGCTCTAAGGGAAAACAGAATGGAAGCGGCAGCATTGTTAAAAAAGACAGAAAGAAAGAATGTGGTGAATGAGCTGGAAAGGTATGGTTGTTCTTTTTTTAAACAAGAGTTCAGCAGTGTTGTGGAGTGGTAATAAGTCAAATAAGTCAGTAGGTGAAAGACTACCTTAGTGATTGGTGTATAATGAAAAAGATCAACACAAACCATCAGATAGAAAAATTATTTGGATTGGCAACATAAGGACTGTACAGTACAAGTCATGCTCTATTATTGAGTAATTTTTTGACAGATGCCTGCTTTTTAATGAGAAGAATAACTTTTGTAGTAAAACAATAAGGAAGAACACTGTGTATTGCTATGTTCATGGAACTTCCTCAGAGTACAAAACATAAACCTAAATGCTTCATAGAAAAAGGAAAAAGTGTAAATGTTTCTTTTCAGTGATTGAAAATGAGCTAGTAATATAAACAAGTTGGCATATAAAAATATTTGGAGAAGCAAAATATGCAATTTGGAAAAGTATGCTCATATAAGAGAAACCAGAAAATATTTAAACTTGTGTTTCAGACTTATTTCAAAGAACTTTATATCCTCAAGTTGCATTCATTTATCTATGAGTTCCTCAAGGTTATCTTTCTTTTTCATAGTGCAGTATTCCATTGTGTATAGTTGCCATTTTCCTTGTACATTATTCTCTTAATGGATGTACACACTATTTTAGAGATGTAGCTGTTAGAAATTGTGCTGCTGTAAACATAGATATCTATATATCCCTGTATGTATGATTTTAACTATTTTGGAAGATTTCTGCAAGGGGACATAGCTGTGTCAAGTGGATTTCTATTTTTAGTTTTTTGTGGAATCACCACACTCTTTCCTGTAGTGTTCATACTGGTTTACATTTGCACCACTGGTGTAGAAAAACTCATCACCATTTATCATTAGACTTTTTTTCATGGAAATCTTTGTAAGATAAAATGCTATCTTGGTGTATATTTAATTTGCATTTATGTAATTTCCAGAAGCAATGATGAGTTTTCCGTGTTTTTATTGGCCATTTGTACTTCTAACAAGTATCATTTCATTTTATTTTTCTGTTCTTTGAGCTTTCTTTACTAGGTCTATACTTTGATGCTTGTCCTCTGCCTGTGGAGTGACTAATAAGGTTTTTTTTGTTTTGTTTTGTTTTGTTTTGTATTCTGAAGGTTGTCTCTTCATTCTGTTGGTTGTTTCCTTTGCAATAGAGAATCTTTTTAATTTCACAAGACTCCATTTGTTGATTCTCTATATTGTATTTTGTGCCATTAGGGTTTTGTTCAGAAAGTCCTTGCCTATGCCTGTGTCTTTGAGTACTGCCTATTTTGTCTTCCAGAAGATTGCTTCTGTTTTAACATTTAGTTGTTTGACCCATTTTGGTTATAGTTTAGTACATGGTGAGATATGTGGATCTAGACTCAATCTGTTGCACGTAGGTATCCAATTTTCCCAGCACCATCCCTTGAAAGAATATCTTTACTCCGGTGTATGTTTTTGACTCCTTTGTCAAAGATCACACAGCGCTCTGGCTCTGTGTGCTTTGAGTTGTCTCTGTTTGTTGTGCTCTCTTCAACTGATGCACATGCCTGTTTCTATGTCAGTACCATGTGGGTTTCATCACTGTAACTTTATAGTGTAGCTCTGAGCTTGGGATTATGATTCTGATGCCACCTGCGTTGCTTTTGTCACTTTTGAGTCTCTTCTAATTCCACCAAATTTTAGGATAATGTTTCTTTAGCTCTGTGAGAATTGACTTTGGTATTTAACTTGGGGTTGCATGAAGTCTGTTTACCAATTTTGAAAGTCAGGCCATTTTGACAGTATCGGTTTTGCCTATCCGGAAATGAGGAATATCTTTTCATTTTCTGATATTTTAGTTGCCTTTTTCTGATTTGTGTAATTTCCACTGTACAACTCTTTGCTTTCTTAGGTTAATGTCTACCCATTTAAGTTTTTTTGATGCAATCGTGAATGATACTATTTTCCTAATTGCTTTTTCATTGAGTTCTTCAATATTGTAAAACATTGCTATTGATTTTCATCTCTGTATGTGTGTGTGTGTTTTATCCTTGTATCTTATTAACCTTGGCTAACAGTTCTAGAATTGTGTGATGGACAGTTTAGCATTTTGTAAGCAGATGATCATGTCATGTGCAAATAAAGGCCTTGAATGACTATATTGATCAGGAATGGTGATAAGAAGCCTCCTTGTCTTGTTCCTGTTTTTAGAGAGAAGGCTTTTAGTGTTTCCCCGTTGCATGTGATGTAAGCACGAGGATGGTCATAAATGACTTTTATCATGTTGAGATGAAAACATTCGGTACTTATTTTCTTCAGGATTTTGAGAATGAGTGTTGCATTTTATCACAGCCATTTTGCATTTTATCATAGCCGTTTTCTCAGCCTGTTTAGCTGATCGTGTGGTTTTGGGTCTTGCTTCTTTGTAGATGAGGAATTAGAATTATCATTTGTGTTTATTGAGCCTCTTTGTATTCAGGGGCCTGAAACCTGTTTGGTACAGTGCATGATGGTTTTGATAATTTATTGCTTTTGGTTTACCAGTATCTTATTAAGGATTTTTACATCCATGTTCATTAAGCAAATTGTTCTCTAATTGCCTTTTGTGGTTGTATTATTTTCTAGTTTTGTGATGAGGATAATGATAGCTTCCAAGAATGACTTTTGAAGTCCTACTTTTATTTTTACTGCAGAGTTTTTGTGTTAGATATTCACGGAAGTTGTTATAGAGTTTCATTGTGAACCCATCAGGTTCTGGGCTTTCTTAGCTGGTATTTTTTTTTTTTAAGTTCTCAAATTTCCTTACCTGATGCTAAAAGATTCAGGATTTTCATATCTTTTTGTTCTTTTTTGGTAATCCATATATATCTAAGAATCTCTCCATCTTTTCTGAGCAAAGGCTTAGCATATACTTTCATGAAATAGTTGCTAATAACTTCTAGAAGTTTGACAATGTCTATTGTGATTCCACATTTTTTATTTCTAATTGTAGTATTTTATATGTTTTGGCTTTTGATAAAATTGGCTTATATTTGATTTACTTTGTTTATTTTTTCAAAAGCTCTTCAATTCAGTGGTTCTTTTTTTCCCTTTAGTTTCTATTCATTGATTTCTGTAATGAGGTTGATAGTGTTTTTCTTTTTACTAGCTGTGTGCTTGAATTGTTCTTATTTTTCAGTGACCTTGCAATGCATCATTATGTTTTTGAGCTCATCCTATTTTGTAAAAATGAGAATACTCACTTCTCTATACTTCCTATATTGAACTAGTTTCATTGTATCTCATAAATATTGGTGCACAACTAACTCTAGGAACTGTCTTATTTCTTCCTTAATTTTCTCTATGACTCAGTGATTGTCTTTAATATCCATCTGTTTGCACAATTTCTGTAGTTTCTTTTGCTATTGATATCTACTTGCATCGCACTGTAATCTGATAGTATGCATAGTAAAATTTTTATTCTTTTGCATTTACTTCGTTGTGCTTTATTAACCAGAATATGGTCTGTCTCCAAGAAAGTACTATATGAGACTAAAGAATGTATCTTCTGTTGTCTTTTGGAACACTGTATACAGTACATCTCCAAGTGACAAACATTCAAGTTGCAAAGTTTCAGAGATGCAAATGGGACCTCACATTACAGAAAATTGTAGATGCAAAGAAATCAGAAAGGTTGCTTGTGTGTCTACCAGACACTGCTACAGTTGTGCTGTTGTGTACTTACAGTATGTACAGCTTTACAGAGCTACATCAGAACCTGGGATGTCTGGAAGCAAGCAGAAAAGCAGCAGTGATATGGATGTTGCTGCTAAGAAGTGCAAAGCAATAACCATGGAAACAAAAGTGAAAATAATTAATTGCATTGTGTCTTAGTTACTTTTCTTTCTTTGCTGACACAAAATACCCAACACTGAAAATTAAGGAAGGAAAGATTTCTTTAGCTTACAGTTTGTGGAAGTTTCTTTCCATAATCAGGTGGCTCCAGGGCAGGATGGCATGGCACCAGGGCAACACATTGACAGCAGCAGCTTGCAAAAGCATCCAGAGCAATAAGGAGGAAGCGAAAGCCTCTTTCCCACCCTTATACTCTACACAGCCCAATCCAGAGCAGGTGTAACACTCCCCAAATGTCTGTCCTCTTCTTTCACAGTATGAGGAAATTTACAAAGAAGGATCCTGGATCCCTGTTGAGTCTCTCATAAAAGGTGTAAAGTTCTCAAGTTGACACAGTGTATCAACCACAACAGATAGAGGTAAAAAAAATAGTATACATGGCTGGTTTTTATAACATGAATCATGCAACCATGTCCACAGTTATGAAGAAAAGGAACAATATATTGAAATGTGTGTGGTCCACTGTGCCAATGAAGCCATTTTGCTGGACTTACAGAGAAATCTGATTTACAAAATTCTCCCTGAATAGAACTTATTAATAAGTCAGGGAAATTACTGTATATATATTAAGTCCATTTGTTTAATGTTTGGTTCAACTTTTACATTCCTTTGTTAATGTAATTTTGTTTAGTTGAAGAATTTTTGATAATGGTGTGTGTAGATCTTTTACTAAAATTGTATTGATATTTATTATATAATTTTCATTAGGTTTTTTGGGTCAAGGTTAGTCACTGTTGCTTGGCATGTTTATAAGTATTATCTCTTTCTATTGAATAAACACATTAATGTAACATTTGTTTTGCTTTCTTAATTTCTCTCTCTCTCTCTCTCTCTCTCTCTCTCTTTCTTTCTGTTTTTTTTGTGTGTGTGTGTGTGCATGTCTCCTTTGAATAGCTTTGCCTTGAAAACAGGATTATCCCTCCTGCTTGTTTTGGGTTCTCTTCGTGTTGAATATGGTTTTGCAAACTTTGATTTTTTAATCCATGGAATTTTTATTGTATGAATATCTTTGTTTGTTTGTTGCTGCAGGGTCTCACTATGTATTACAGGCTGTCCTTGAACTTGTTTATATAGCTCAGGAAGGCCTTGAACTCACAGTGATCTCCTTGTCTCAGTGTGGCTTTACAGGCACG